TGCTCTTGGTATTTTTTATTAATCGTTTGTTAAATCAGACAAATTCAAAGAAACCCTTCAAACTAAAGCTCTGTGCTCCCGTCAGCTCCTCAGCGAGCTGAACCATCGCGACGTCCTCCTTCAGGAAGACATAAAGTGCATGAAGTCCTGCTGAGAGAAGCCGGCGTGCTTCCGTCCGACCGGACGTCCAGTCCGAGTCCACGTTTATCAACCAGTCAGATCAGAAACGATTTCTCGCCAACAGCAGCAAACGAACAGAAACAGGAAGCAGGAGTCGGGGCGGGGCGGGGTACTGCGGTTGCAGGACTCTTTCGATCCGTCAGCAGTCTGAATCCCTGAACTTTAAACCAGATCGGAATGATGAGAAACTTCCTGGACATCAGACCGGCTCCCCTCTGTGTCGACGACTGTACACTGACAGCACCAGGCGGCACAGCAGGGGGCGCTATGGGACAACAGCTTCAGGTAAAACATCATTTCTATCCTATACAAACAAAGTTTAAATTGATCTTTTCATGAATTTATTGATAAATATTGTCCTGCAGAGGAGACGGACGAGGTATGGCGGCGGCGGCGCCGTTTCTGCTGCTGCTGTCGGAGTGAAGGTGGTGGTGATGTCATCGCGTTTGGTTTGTGTCCTTTGATCGGCTTCCATCCATCAGTTTATGTATTGATCTGTCCATACTGAGCGCCCTGTGTATGTGTGTCTGTCCATGCCATTTGTTTCTGCTGTACACACACACACACACACACACACACACACACACACACACACACACACACACACACACACACACACACAGGGCGCAGGCTGATGACATCATCTCTACAGGCCCAGAGACTTGCGTACGATCTTCTGGGCGAGTTTGTTGAACTGCTCTCGATCTTCCCGCCACATCTTGGAGGCATCGACGTTCGCTCCGCTCTCATCGTTGGGCTCTGAGAGGAGAGGACCGAGTACGGAGGTGAAGCATGGTTTACACATGATGACATCACAGAAAGGTGTGTGATTACCTGCCAGCATGCTGACCACAGACAGCAGGATCTTCTCTACACTCTGGACCGGACTCCACCTCTCTGCACTACTCTCATATCCCATCGGATCGTCGCCCGGAGCATGGAGGATGGAGATACAGACCCGACCGTCCGGATAGACTGAGGAGGAGGAGGAAGATGATTAGTAAGGGAGCGCGACTCAGCCCGCCCATCTGAAAGAATCCAACATATTTAACGACGACCAGTTCAACACACAGGTTTAGTTTGTAATGCCCACAGGTGCGAATGCTGCCAGACTGGTGACCTGTCCAGGTGGACCTGCTGCTGGGACAGGCTCCACCCACCTGACATGCATGGGTGGATGTTTCTGAATGCTGTGAATCTGATTTTAAGACATTTCTGTTCAAACGCTTCATTAAAGCTGAGACCCGCGTGTCGTGTCGTGAGCCTCTCTTTGAGTTTTTGGGATTCATTTTTTTGTAAAAACTTCATTAAACACTTTCAGCGAGGACATATTTGGAAACAGGATGTTCTTTATCTGCTCCTCAAAGTGCCGCCCGGCCATCGAGTCCTCACAGGTGCAGTAGAACAACACCTGACAGGTAAACAAGCCTCCCGTCAGGTGAGGCAGCACTCAGAGGCTATCTGTTTCCATCAAACATCTCGTTGTTATCAGTGTGCAAAGTGCTTCCTGTCGGCTGTCTGACGTTCCTGCTTTGACAGCTGCTGTTTTATCAGCACACAATAGATACGAGAGCCGAGCAGTTAATCTGATCATTTCACATTTGAATCTCAGCTTCCAACAATTCAGGAAACAAGATAAACCTCCTGCTGCAGCTGGAGCCATGCAGGAGGGAGAACAACCTTTATATTTATTCGTTCAGATATTTCACATTTCTATGAAACAACAGGTTTGATGCAGAGGAGCTGGGTGGTGCAGACCTACAGACACCTGCTGGCAGCCTGGCACCTGTTCTCACCTGTGCGAGCGGTGCCATGCAGGGCAGATGGTGAGTAAACGTTCAGCTCAGAAAGTTTGAAAACTTTTTCTCTTCTTTTGAAACCTGAGACGTGTTTTTTCCATCACCTTTGAGGAGGTTCAGGCCCGCTCAGTGTTTTCTTCTTCGTGGGTTTCACCTGCGGCGGTTGCAGGCTGTTGATGGATGATCAGACGCTACAGTTGCAGGAGGAAGTTCAGCTCGGGGGCATGCTGGTGCAGGGTGGTGATGATGGGCCAGCAGCAAACAGCTTGTCCTCTAATCAGGACTGAGCGTGCTCAGACTGTTACCCTGCTGTGACATCATGGCTCAGCACTCTAATCACAGCAGTAATGACAGCGCGCTAACAGCATGCTAACAGCACGTTAGCAGCATGTTCACATTAGTGCTGCGTGCTGTGACTGGTCACATGACTGCTTTGAAGTCAAACCGACTCTCAGGAGCTTTGGCCGTTACTGTGACAACGCAGCCTTGTGTCACATGACTTGTCACATGACTGAGGGGGTCACTGCGGTCTGTTTACCTATCAAAACAGACGCAAACCAAGCGTGTTCTGTTCAGGAACCTGAGGCACACCTGGAGTAACTCAGGTGTGCCAGGTGTGTTTAAGAGTTTGTCTGTTTTCAGGTGAACACGACGGGTTAAAAGCTGAGAGCGAGGCTCTAAACGAGTCTAAAACCGCGGAAACACGAGCTCGTCGCTGCGGTGATTCACTGTGCTGGATTAAAGTGACTGAGAGGGAGAGAGGATAAACATCACATCAGCTTCTCCACAAACACACCTCCAGTCTGAACCGAGCTTTAACCTTCATAAAACCCTGTGAGAACACAAGCTGTCTGTGCAGGTGAGGGGGCGGAGCTCAGCCGCAGGTGGACTTACTGTTGGGGTGAAACATGTCGCAGGTGAACCTCATCTTTGGAGGACTGAGGGGGTAATCGGAGGGGAAGCTGAGGATGGCTGGAAACACTCCGCCTTCGAAGCACGTGTCCTGAGGACCCCTGAAACACACAGGAAGTACATGTGAGACCCAGAGGGCACGAAACCAAAGAGCACCTGAAGAACTTGGAGAACCCGCCCGGATCACCTGTTAGCAGCTGGACGGGTTTTTAAGTTTAATCTGCTGCTCTTTCTGTTCCCGTCTCTGTAACACCTGTGCACAGGTGACCCTCACTCTGATTTCATGATCCTCTAACAAATTTTTATCTCCCTTGAGAACCTGAAGGAGCAGCTTCAGAACAGGTAACCCGGTCTCTATGAACACATCTGGATGTGAACATCTGCAGGTTTCTGTCCTGTTGACTAATCAGGTGTGAGCAGCCTTGGGAGGCACACAGGTAAAAACAGAGATTAATGTTCCTTGTAAACAAAGACACGTGGAACACGGAGACAGCAAAGCAAACAGTATCATTAACACCTGCTCTCTCCATCAGCACCAGCAGCTAACAAACTCATTTCACGTGTTTGTCTTCATGTTTTTCAGACGCCACTCAGATTTGAATATTTGTTGCTGGAAAGCAAAAAGTTTGTTGTTTTTCAACAAAAATGTGTTTGTTGAAAAAAACTAACTTTGTTCTCGAGTCAGAAGAAGGAGATGAACCAACCTGACTCCAAACCCAACCAGTGTCAGTCTGTGTAAGGAGACAAATACTGACTTACTTCAACATAACGTGGGTCTGATGTTCAGACCAAATGATGAGAAGATCTTAGAAAGAACGCTGGACTGTAAGCATGCTGTGTACATGCTGCTGCTTCGTCTACAGTGACATATACTTTATCTCCTTACTTACTCTTATTGTTGTTAGTATTGTGTTGTTGCTGTACTTGGTCTCAGCGTACCTTTCTCATGGAAAAACGTCCTGTCAGAAAAAGCGGAGCGGCTCCCCACACAGCTGTTGGAGTAGTTTCAGTTACTTGGGGAGAACGTCCTGTGGCTCCTTTAGAAGCAGATCTTTGAACCGGCTTGGAGAAGCTGTTCTGCTCCTGCAGCTAGGGCTGTGCGATATGACCAAAATCTCACATCCCGATATAAGACATCTATCGTCCGATAACGATATAGATCACAAAAATGTAACATTTTCTGTAAATTCTGTGAATCTCGGGCAGCTCGTCTTGTGTGAAGTGTTTCCAGCTGCGCGTCCTCGAGTGTTTTAACGATGCATGAAACTATACATTTTTAGACATAAGTTGTAACGGCGCCGTTTTCTTTGTATTTATCACACGGCGTGCTGCGGGGAAAAGCCTGTTCTAACGTTTGAGTCTAAGGTTGATTTTTTAGCACCTGGCGGCTCTTTTTTACTTCTCATCGTAAATAATCTGCATCTTTCACGTGATTCAGTTTATTTTGAAAAGTCTCAACAGGATCTTGAGTTTTATTGTGAAAGGTTTATGTGGAACATAAACAAGCGGACACGCGATGCTGTTACCGTTGCTGTTGCTAACAACAACACATAAAACCAGGCGCTTGTCTGTAGTGTGGTTATATTAAATATAAGAGAAAGAGAACTTTAATAAATGAATATAGCCACTACAGTGACATCAGAACCATGAACAAATATTGCTGTAAACAGTTTATTTTGCGACACCACGAAGCAAACGATAGCGTAAAATGAAACTATGGACGTTTTTATATCGTCATCCGATATATATCATTATATCGAACAGCCCTAGCGGCAGCTGTTTGAAGCTCACCGATCCGTATCAGCTGCAAGGACACGGCGCCGGTATCACAGCGTGTTTATGATCGTTACGCCGTCATGGAGCTTCTGAGTCATCAGAGTTCAAGAGGACGTTTGAATATCTGAGCACATCACAGATCTGAGGTCAGGCAGATCAGCCGATCTGATCGTCTGTCTGCAGATTACTTCGGCTTCACCTCCTCCACCATCAGCCGCTCTAATCACTGACCACACACACTCTGATTGGCTATCTGTGCTACCAATCAGCGCTCGTCTGACGCGTGTTCTTTTATCAGATCTGAGAGCAGTTTGATCAAATCAAAGGGTTTCATCACCTGGATCCAAACAGTGACGCCGCTACAGCTTTATGAATGTAAGGTTTGGAGCGAGTACCTTGCATCACTTTAACTGGCACATCGCTGGCGACCGGGACACAAGGACGCTGACCAGCTGAGGACAAAACAAGTCAGAGCGCCAGAGGTTCAAAGAGCGGAAACAACTGAGCGTCAAAGAGCTCGTATTCACAAGTGGACTCCTGTGACTGTCTATAAAACACACATGTGTACTGCCTGGTGACTGCACCGAAAACACCAACGGCTCGTCTGTGAGCATACTGGGTCCAGTCTGACACAGGTGGGCGGGTCCCGTCTGACACAGGTGGGCGGGTCCCGTCTGACACAGGTGATCCCTGTTTGCGTCTGAAACACCTCCAGCTGTCTATCAGTGTAGGCGGAGCCATGGCAGAGGATCGGCGCGCTCCCAGCAGCTTGTTTCTGAATCTTCAACCAACCAACGAGGCACAAAACAGCCAGCCGTTAAACATGAGCAGGCAGCTCAGACGTCTTCCCATGAAGAAACAGCATCTCAAAGCGCAGCTCAGAGGGCCGACCTGCTCAGGTAATGACCTCGGTAATGATAGGGTGTGGCGCGGTGATGTCATCGGTCAGGGGGATGGCAGGTATGTGGATGGTTGGCCGCAGCACGAGCTGCAGGTTAAATTGAAGGGCAGACTGAAGCTGCTGTCACGCCAACATCCACAACAACAGAAGGCTCCGTTACTAATGACAGACTGAGGGCGCTGCCTTCACTGACATCATGTTCATGTTGGTTTCTTAGGTACAATAACTTCTGGACATCTACTGCAGTCAGGATGTCTACTTTCACACCGAGTACTCAGAGTACACAGCTGTGGGTCCACATCTGGGGTGTTTTAATGGATTTAGATCCACTGTAACTTCTTCCAGTCACAGGTGAAACACCTTCAGCAGATGGTTTTCTGACTCCTTGAAGAGTCTCAGGATCAGCAGATGTTCTCTGTAGCTTGTCGCTTCAGTTCTTGCTGAGACTAATTTTGGTCTGAGACAGCACGAAGCTGCAGCATCTTTAATAACTGATAAGAAATGTTTTTGTCTAACAGCGTATTAAAGAGGACATGAAACACTGAACACATCGAGGCTAATTTACCCCACTGAGCTCTGACTCTGACACACATGTAACTGCTGTGAAGCTGGATTTAACAAATAACAGCTTAAAGTTATAAAAACATGTTTCTGTCAGTACGAACGTGACGTCAGGTGGTTGGTTGGCTGCAGCTAACAGCCTCTCCTCTACACTGTCCTTTACAAACACCAACATCACGGCTAACAGCTGGATTTCCTGTTTCAGTGCAGCTAGCCAAACAGCCACTTCCTGCTACAGACACAGACAGTAAAGTGGACAGTATGTCCACAGTATGTCCTGGTTTCACATAAACTCACTGCTGCAGCACTACAGTGATCCCCTCACACTGATGTTTAGCTTTAATGTCCCTATTTTCCTCTGAGGTATCGATCCTGTCACTAGTTAGCTAACATAAACTAATGTGAGTCTGTTAGCCTCAACCAACCAATCACATAACGTCACGCTCGTACTGACAGAAGATGGTGCTGAACATGACCTGGGCCCTATTTCAGAAAGCCGGTTTAGAAAACTCAGAGTGAAAAACGATACGCAGGGTTGAGTAACCCCGAACTGTCCAACTCGGAATATTCGGTTTCAGAAAGGCTGATAACAAGTAGTTCAGTCAACGCGGAGTTGCTTTAACCCCAAGTTAAGCGCGCGCACGAGGATACATAAAGCCCTGATAAGTGGAGCACAGATTAAGCGAGTCACCATGGAGACGGAGGGAAAGAAGGCGCGGTCAATGTATCTTACAGCGCTTGAGGCCGAAATTCTGATGGCAGCATATGCCGATAACATGCAAATTCCGCGGAAAAAAAGTAACACAGCCTCAGCTGCAAAAGAAAGTGAGCATGCATGGCAAAACATAGCCGACAGAGTCAATGCGTGAGTGTTAATTTAAACATTGATCTAGGGATTTCCACCCATTTAACACGTTATTTTATTATATTTTATTTTTTATTTTCATACATTTTATTTTGTGATGTGAGCGCAGGTGCAACCCAACAGGCCCCAAACGTTCCTGGCAGCAAGTAAAAATGAAATATAAAAATATAGTCCAAACAGGTAAGGTGTAATTGTATTATGAGCCATAGTGCTTGGTCTGTTTGTCCCATGTAAATCAATTGCAGTTAGAGGCTACATTAATTTCCCCTCTGTAAGCACTTATTGAAATTATCTGAGCACATTACAAGTACATATTTGCTTACTCTGTATGCTCAAATGTGACCCGTTATAGCCAACAGAAAAAAAGCGGAGGCCTGAAAAACAGGTGGGGGTCCTCCACCACCACCACTCACAGAGGCTGAGCAGTTGGCTTCCACATTTGTGATAATGTTGGCAGCATCACATATGATCTTCACAGTGCAGAGAACACAAATTAGCATCCATTACTATAATGAGATAATTTGTTAGTTTGAAATGCTACAGGGAACTATGTACCTGTACATTAATGCTGTGGAAAGACTTCCTGTTCACATAGTCTCCTTCATTTACTGAAGGAGCAATGATTGGAATGTGAGTGCCATCTGTACAGCCAATCACGCCTGGGAACCGTGAACATAAATGTAAAATTTAAGTAGTAGTTCAAGTATCACCACATCATGAATTAAGTTTTGTTCATCCTGATACCTGCAATTTTGTGGCATCCCTCTTTGATAAATCTTGTGGGTCTGTGACCGGGGAACACCACAAACGAGTACAGGAGACGTTTCAGTGCAACTGTAACATTCCTGACTGCCCGACAGACGGTAGCCTTGGAAACGTGCTCAGCGTCACCAATATTATACAGAAAGCTCCCGTTTGCAAAAAACCGAAGTGCAATACAAATAATATGTACAGAACTGAGAGCATGTCCGCGATGTGTCACATGCGTAATATATGGCCTGAGGATGTTATTCAAATAAATTATAGATTGTGCTGAAAAACGGTAACGTTCACACAGAAAATCATCAGGAAATGATAAAATGTCCGAACGCGCTCTAATCACTCTCTCCCGGCGGAGAGCTCTGCGGAGAATTTGGGCTTCAACATCTACTGGCTCTTCAAGGAAGGGACACGCCATGTCTGACACTTCCTACAGTCAGGTTTCTGACAAAGAGGCGGAGAAAGTCAGGGTTAGTTGAAGTAAACCTGCTAGGGGGCAGGTTAGCTTCACGGAGTGTGTCGTCATAGTAACTCGCTCAGAATTAATCTAAACTCGCTTTGTGAAACCGAAAACCCAGAGTTTTCGTTAACTCAGGGTATACTTACTCAGAGTTTGCACTGAAGCGGCTTCCTGAAACAGGGCCCCGGTGTGTCAGGATCAGTGGGGTAAACATGTTCAGTGTTTCATGTCCTCTTTAAAAACACACCTCACAGTTAAAATGACACTTGAACATCTTTGTTGGTCCTCAGCTGTGTCCACACTTCATGGAGAATGATGCTCCTGGTTGTTTCTGTAGGTAGACCAGGCCTTGGTCTTCAGATTAAGACTTCTCCAACACTCAACATCTTTAAAATCCACCTGAAGACACATATTTACTCCCCAGCGTTTAAATTTGAACACTTTTGTGTTGTCTTGTTTCCTGCTCTGTTTTCTTCCAGCCATAAATCCACTGACTTGCCTTAACTTTGTGTTAGTGGGGAGTGTACCGATAGCTGTGTTTCATCTCCAACACTTTGAGAACAGCGACACCTTCTGGTCTCACTCGGTCATCGTCACACTGAACCTGTGAGTTTAGTTGCCATGGTTTACACGTATGAGGGTGACTTCATGACTCAAACTGCAGGTTTTTACTTTCTGAGTTTGGCATAAAGTGTGAAGCAGGTTAAAGAAACAAATACAGAGAGGTGAGCCTGTTACAAACACTAACAGCTGCTAATAAAAGGATCAGACAACTGATCCCAGCAGACGGGAGGTTAAAGCCATGAGGGAGCAGCATTGTTCGCTTTTTAAATGCAATTAGTGTGATTAGTGGATCTATGGAGCTCCGTCGCTGCTTTCATGACTGAGCCTGACCTTTAAGCACTCAGCACAGAAGTGAAAGTAACTTGTTTGTGCAACAGCCAAATTAGACAAATGCTGGTGCTCACAGAAGTGCTTCAGGTGACTGAACTGAGCTATATGATAACCCGACGGGTGGGGCTGAGATAGATTTCGGTCGCTCGACCGGAGATATCGCTAGCTCCGGGACGCCAGGCTAGCAATTTTGCGAGCCCTGGACGGCTTCAAGCTGATAGTAAAAGCAACAAACTCAAATAACCACTCATAACAACCGAGGTATGCAGAAAAGCACCCCTGAGCCTTAGAACAGATGATCTACAGCGGCAGAAGACCACACCGGTGCCACTCCCACCAGCTAAAGGACATTTTATACCTGCTACGCGCTGCCTTGCAAACAGCACCTTACAACAGAGCAGCGTGGGAAAGGACAGAAGGAGCAGGTAACTGGCTCTTTAAGAACAGGAAGTGGAGGATACAGTTCACTCAGACTCACCAAAACCGGACAGCAGAAGATAAAAAACGCTCTGATGAGTCTGCTGCTACATTCTGAGTTTGGCGTTAACAACCTGAAAGCAGGGATCCTCCTTTGCTTCAGATTCACATCGACAGATTCATGGATGCACCAGCATCATGAGGTCATGATGATGTCATGTCCACACAAACCAAAACCTGTGATGCTTGTATAACCCAGTTGAAGCCAAGCACCTAAGAGTTAAAGGAGCTCTAACCCAGTACTAGTGAACTGTACCAAATAAAGTGGCTGTGAGAGTCCAGTTATAACTGACACTAGGGCTGCCACGATTAGTCGACTAGTCACGATTACGTCGACTATCAAAATCGTCGACGACTGATTTAATAGTCGACGCGTCGTTTGAAGCTTTGTAAGATCCTGAAAGACGCAGGAATAAGTAGCAGGATTTAAGAGTGTAATAACGGACTGAAACAGAAGATGGCAGCACTGCATGTACAAGGATGCCAGCTGCTGTTAAACCCCGAAGAAGAAGAAACTGTGTCCCAGAATTCATAGCGCAGCCCAGCTCTGTTGTCAACAATGGCGGCAGCTAGTTAGTTTTAATATTACTCTTATTATTCTTTCTGGGTCACAAAATAAACGTTTAACATATTTTCAGGCTGGAATGTAGCTGTGTAAACCTCAAATATCTGCTCAGTTTATCAGGACACCGCATATTTTCAAAAGCGCTCCGACGTTTTCGGAGACGTCTGTTACCCACTAGCTCGATAGCTAGCCGGGGGCTAGGCTAACTAGAGCCGTGAGAACACCGGACTCCCCGCAAATCGTTTTCAAACCCACTGCCGTCACTTAGCTTAAAATGTTATTGTTTGGCTTTTTTTTAGTATTTTATTTGTTCCTGAGTAAATCAGTTTGGCTGAGATTAAAGTTATAGTTTTTACACAGCTGAATAAATGTCAAGCAGACAGCTGATTATCAGAAGTGTGAGATGCTCGAGAATTTACTCCGGTGTCCTGTTATATTTTAGATAGCAAGGAGTTTATTAAACTTCACCGAAACAATCTGCAAACTTCATTAAACTTTAATAAACTATCATCTTGTCTTTATTTTTAATTAGCACTTAACTTAAACACTTAAAGCTGTAAGCTAATGATAGTTATATAAGAGCAGATGCTGCTGGTGCAATAAGCTGTACGCTGTATGTCCAATGGATGATGATGTGATTAGTCGACTAATCGCAAAAATAATCGGTGACTAGTCGACTATCAAAATAATCGTTTGTGGCAGCCCTAACTGACACATACACAATAACACTCCAAAAAAAATACAAACACCCAAAAATGACTCAAACGTGTGTTTCCATGGAGACGGGGTACTCACATGATGAGAGCCTCCCACTCGAAGAAGTTCTCCTCGTTCACTGGACCTGCACAGCAAACACAAACTCTTTAAATCTCGGGTGTCTGACTGTTGGAACAACACGCTGAACATCTGAAGACACATCTGCAGAAGCTACAGATGTGTTCTGGTGTCTCACCTGCCACGATGCCCTCAGGTGGGTTCAAGGTCAGCTCTGAAACACAAACACAGAAAGATGAGTGACCTTTGACCTCTGCTGTGATCCGGTCTCAGTCACATTTTTAAACAGCTGATAGATTGTTTGCTTTCCCATGTTGAAGAAATGATTAACATTTATTCATTTAAAAACAGCCTAAAGCAAGAAAGCAGTTATAAAAGACTTCCCAATTATCTTAAATACCAATCAGATTTACCACAATGATCTATGTCGAACTGTTTATCCATAACTGTAAATCTGCAAGTTCGAACACTTATACACAACATAATACAACTGTAATTACCCCTAACCTGTAAAGTTGCAATTGTTATACATAGCTCTACGTATACACCTTAATATATACTCTGTATATATTATCACTGTGACAGTGTTGCAACTACTTGCACTTTAAATTCTGTTTACACCCACATAAACTACAAGATTCACAAAGCACTGTTTGTGTGTTTTACTTTCTTTTAGGGAACGTGCAAACTAAGAATTTCATTGCTCTGCGTAACCATTTGTGTTTTGCGGTGTACATGACAATGAAGTTCTTGAATCTTGAATGAATCGACTAATCTATGCAGAATTCACATTATTACACAAGATTAAAGTGTAGCAGCCTGAAATGAGCGCATTAAATAAATGACAGGCCAAAATATGAATGTGTACCGAGGCTAATCCCCCAGTTCAAGTTCTTATCGTTAGCCCTCAGTGCACCAAATTACATTTAAAAACCTTCAAATTTATCACTTTCAGAAAAGGCAATCAGCCGCCGTGTCAGTGCAGCGCTGAAGCCTCGCAGCGAGTTTTCCACCTGCGCTCTGTGCTCCTGTAACCAACAGATAAACATGATGTTCGCACTTTGTGTTCATTTAACATACTTTAGAAAAGTTTTGAAAGTTACATGACGGCAGCTATATGGAACATTCTGGATAACGCCACAAACACATTATATAAGCTCCAAATTATACCGCGGTTTAAACTGCAGGTGGACAAAGCCGACACCGGATTATTCACACTGTCCAGATATTCATCAGGTTATCGGTTTGAGTCGCAGGTACAGAAGAACAAACGCGGACAGCGAAGAAAAGCTCAAATCGACCGAACTTTTAACGAGTTTCGTACAGAGATACAGGCGCTAGCGGAGCTGTTAGCTTAGCATGCTAGCTAACATTAAAAGACCTCCCATTGGCTGAAAGCGGCTCGCGTTACTCACGTTTGTACTCGGCCATAAGTCTCTTGAGCGCTGTGCCAGCCATCGTGTTTACCGGAGAAAATAACAAACAAACAAATAAACAAAAGTGGCTCAGTTTCTCAGGTTCTCACAGAGCAACGGACCAACAGCTGATCCGACTGAGCATGCGCAAAACGTGTTTCAGTTTGCGTGTCAGCAGACAGCGCACCCTGTCGACAAAAATAAAAACAATTCATTTAAAAACAAATAAAAAATAATTCATGTTTAATAATTAAGGTCATTTGTTTAATTGTAAACTTAATTTTACTCAGGTAAATGTTTTTGTGCCTTTAATAAATGTTATATAGTCTTTTTATTCAATTTTGTCTTTATGTAATTGATTTCCTTACCTGGATGACTGAGAATCAAGATGTATGCATGTAATAATAAGTTACGGTCTAACTGTGCCACGGTCTAAATGTGCCACAGCAGATCTGTTTTGTTGTTGTTGTTGAATACTCAAATACATAAATAATAAAATAAATTAATTAATTAAATTCAAGTCAACTTTATTTATACAACGCCAAATCACAACAACAGTCACCTCAGGGTGCTTTATATTGTAAGGTAGACCCTACAATAATACATACAGAGAAAAACCCAACAATCATATGACCCCCTATGAGCAGTGGGAAGGCCACGGTGGGAAGGAAAAACTCCCTTTTAACAGGAAGAAACCTCCCAGGCTCAGGGAGGGGCGGGGCCATCTGGACCCACTGGTTGTGGTGAGAGAAGGATGACAGAATGGTGTGAAAGAGAGATTAATAACAAGTGTGATTTAGTGCAGAGAGGTCTGTTAACCCCTTAGCAGTCGGACGTACACATAGTGAGTGAAGAAGTGTCTGACAGCGAATGACTGCCTGGAAATAGTGCCACATGTGAAAAGTAAGTATGTAAAACTGGTGGTGGTCAGAGGGCCCGGTGGCGCCAGTGTCCGGCAGCCTCGCCTCTGTCAGTGCGCCCCAGGGTAGCTGTGGCTACAATGTAGCTGCCATCACCAGTGTGTGAATGTGTGGATGACTGGACGTGTAAAGCGCTTTGGGGTCCTTAGGGACTGAGTATAGCGCTATACAAATGCAGGCCATTTACCATTTACCAAAAGTGATGATTTCCTGTTTTTCTCTTTTTACTTGTAATGACTCATTGGTCTGTGTGACCTTTGACCTAAGAGTGCAGTTTCCAGACTGTTTTTAAAATATTCAAACTATAATCGGCAGTCAGAACTCAACTTTGTTACTTTATACAGTGAGAAAGTTCTGTGGCCTGAATATTGAACTGCTGGATTTTGCCTATATTATCTGCCGAGGGATGTTTTTATCTGTTATTGTTGTTGCTGTGTGCAAATGCTGCAACTGCACACAGCTGCCACATCAGAACGTGCTGCAGTAAGTTCCTCTTTATCAGGAAGTCTAGTTCAAGGCCCTCTGCTGCCTCCCCCCAACAAGATGTAGATGAACTAAAGAGCATAAAAAGAAAATGAATGTTGATTACACAACAAATATTTATGACCTTTTCTCTGATTATGTTTTTTTGGGTGAACAGTCCTGCTTTTCTTTTGCAGCCCTACTGAGCTTCCAATCATGAGGCTTGACTCACACTGACTGTTTTATTGTTACAGTTTAAAACTCCTCAAGGTGAATGTTGTTGCGATGTGGGGCTACGTAAATAAAGCAGAATGGAATTGAAATCAGTAAACATGATAATGTTCTGAAACAGTTGCATTATCAAACAGATCTGTTATACGCTGCTTGACGATAAATCTAAATTAATCTAATTCTAAAGGAGGTCTGATCCTAATCACTGATCTGAGGGTCTCTATGGTTTTACAGACGAACAGCAGCAGCTTTGTGTCTCAGCAGCTGCATCTTGACAGCGTGTTTGGGGACCTCAAATTAAAATGTAATGATGTAATAATATCAACAGTTAAACAATCATTTTTGGCATCAAATATGAATTATAGTCTTTAAAGAATCAGCATTAAACTCATCAGTATTTAAAATATCGCTGTTAAATTATATAGTCAATATTGTAGTCATCAGTGTTCAAAATTAACATTAAATCACTGAATGCTGATAACACGAATGTTAAAGTATTAAAAAGTAAATCATTAAATGTATTATACTCAATAACAAAATGATCAGTTTTTTAAAAACTGAGTCATCATTTAAATGATCAATATTCAAATATTCTTTAAAGGATCAAAGTTTAAATTATTAACATTGAAGTTTCATGTTAAGCAGAAAAGAAAAAGAAAACATCTAAAACACAAAAATCATCACAAATCTCAGACATTTCACAGAAATATCAGATGTAAATTATAGTCAGTTATTTTTCAAACAATAAGAAGTAAAATGAAACTATCATAGAAATGATCTCTGTATGGATAGACTTCAGGTTTAAATCTGTTTGGAGGTAAAAATCTATCAGAAATTCAAACAAACATGAAACCTTAAACAGTGTATGGATAATTATATAAACGATGGTTGCAACCAACACATCACCCAGCTGTTTTTTAAAGTGATCATAAACTTTTCACAGACACAAAGCACTATACAACAAAACAGAGTAAAACAAGTCGGATTAAAATATAATAGAAAATTAATGTGCCGTTAACAGCCAGAATAATGTAAACAAGCATTTTAATAACAGCAACTATCAGTAAAAGTCTCAACTGAAGACCTGGTTAAGGTCTCCAGAGTCAGATAAATGTAATTGTAGAGGCAGACTGCTCCATAACCTTGGCGCCACAAACTACGGAGCTCTGTTGCCCTCAGTCTTTACCCTCGTACAAGGAAGAACTAACAAACTCTGAACCTGTGATTGGAAACTGTAAGCAGCAGCGTGCTTAGTAAGAAACTTGGATAGAACATCTTGGTCCTGGCTCAGGTGATCTGTAGTAAATGGATGACCCGCCAATCTCTGGGGGCGAGGTCACTGAGGCAGTTAAACAACTGCTTGGTGGCAGAGCCCCTGGGGTGATTGAGGTCCGCCCCGAGTTCCTGAAGGCTCAGGATGTTATAGGGCTGTCCTGGTTGACACACGTCTGCAATGTTGCGTGGAGATCATGGGCAGTACCTCTGGATTGGCAGACCGGGATGGTGGTTGCCATCTTTAAGAAAGGGGACTGGAGGGTGTGTTCCAACTACAGGGGGATCACACTCCTCAGCCTCCCTCCCTAGGAAAGTCTATACCAGGGTGCTGGAAAGGAGAGTCAGTCTGTTAGTCAAACCTCGGATACAGGAGGAATTATGCAGTTTTTGTCCTGGTCGTGGAACAATGGACCAACTCTTCATCCTCTCGAGGAGTTTTCCCAACCAATCTTACATGTGTTTTGTGGACTTGGAGGAATTCGACGGTGTCCCTGAGAGATGCTCTGGGAGTATACGGTGTCTGGCCCATTGCTACGGGGGATATGATCCTACATTTATATACAATACAACCGTTGCAAGAGCTTGGTCCGCATAGCCGGCAATAACTCAGACTTGTTCTCGGTGGATGAGGAAGGAAAAACAGGGGGGCCAGAAAGTCCAAAACACAGTTCTAGGGTTCAGCCTAGTCATGGGGAAAACACAGGGAACCGGACACTTTAGGGGCCAGCCAGGATGCCAGTGACATAGACACAGCACCTCAATGGACAGGTCAAGAGACCAGCAAGCTAGACCCTCTAGCGACTTGCCTGGAGGTTGGTGTTGGCAAAGGTTACAGGAGACTGATGATGATGATGGCAATAAAGACCTTCTGGTGGCATGACCAGCGAGAGATGGCAGAGCGCCTAAGGAGGCCAGACAGGATGCCGCAGCAGTGAGTGGAGTCCTTCAGGAGGTTTGGGAGGTTGGTGACAGATTTGACCCCTCAGGATGCTTGGCAGGATGCAGACAACGGCATCAAGGGAGGAGACCCTCTGGATGCTTGGATTGAAACTGTTGTAGGTGGAGGTGACAGGACACCACTGGTGGCTTAGCTGGGGGTCAATAACATTGATGAGGGCCCTCAGAAGACTTGGCACCAGGCAGGCAACAACAGAGGAGGTGGATGTAAGTCTATGTAGCAGAGGCCCAGAGGTGACACAGGAGCCATTTGCTCTGATTCAGGCAGGGCGGGAGTCACTCATTCTGGACTTTTTGGATTGGTTTGGATAAATGCATTTATTTGTCGGTTGCAGTTGTCTGCAACTGAGATGACAAACCTTGCTGACTGTACATACAATACACAACTTCACACTGGGGTGTCAGGTCGGGCTAGGTAGCAAAAGGAAAAACAATGAAATGTGTAAAACTAAAGGTCAGATCAGGAGAAAAAAGAATTTCTGCTCATAATGATCCTTAGACGGAGTCAGCATGAGGAGGAGACAAAAACTCCAGCACATATCATCACATCATAACACCCTAAAAACACAAGACAAACAACATACCAAAGGTAGCCGAATGAAAGATGATGGATATGCTGTCTTGTTGAAAATGTCATTTATTGAAAATACTATTGGCTAGCAGCAGAAAGGCCATAACCCAAAGAGGGCTAAAGGCTGACCCTCCAACTCTGGCCCAGTGGTTTGGGATAGTGAAAGAAATTTTTGGAATGGAGAGGCTTACCTTTGCCCTTAGACGAGCTCGAGAAATTCAAGAAGCTCTGGGAAAATGGATTGTGTGTAATTAAATATTACCATGATGTATGTAGATACTAATGTGGAGACTGTGTACGTCTTCCATGCTGACCTAATGTTTTGTATTCTCATACTGTAAATTAATAAATAAAAAGTTATAAAAAAAAGAAAAAAGGATGCTGTCTTGGTGAGAAGAGGGTGTCAACTGCATTAAGGGACCAGTTGATCAAATCCATAGTTCTTCTTTAGGTTTTAGCTCTGGTGAAGAGGGACCCAAGAGCTCTGGACCCTCTGGTTCAGGCCCAAGCTGCTCAGCAGGGCCCATGGAAATCTCTGGCCTCTCTGCATTCTCGGGACACTGAAGATTCAGGATGCGGAGGCTGGGACTGCTCAGCACACTCAGGGTGCTCTTGGTGCTCAGAGGACTGTGGCTGCTCAGCAGGGCAAGAAATCTCTCTGATGACTGAGGCTGCTTAGCAAATCTCACAGCTGACTCTGACAACTGGGAGTGGCAGAGCTACAACATATACCATATACAAACAGTATCTGAGCCATGA